AAAGATAAACATGTTTCCATCAAAGACTAATTAAAGAACCATTCAGCACTGATATTGTACTGGCACATTGCAAGCAAAATGATTTGATCAATGTCTCACACAGCAACATGGAGGTACTTGCTGAGAGGATCTTTTTGAAATGTCTCACAAAAACACACTTACAGAGGACACTGACAATTAAATGTTAATGGGAAAGGATTAATAGATTTATATTTTTTGTGGATTTGAGTGTGAAACGTTTACGTGAGCTAAGCTGGTATATAGCTTCACATCACCATGAAATCACATCACTGTGAAAAGCAAATAATAGGTTTTCAGTAATTCTATTGTTAACGCTCTGGCAGCATTTTAAAATGGAACTGAAATCCATTTGTAGAGATGTGGTAATCTTGCAATTTATTCTGTGTCACGTGCTCTGTTTTACTGCCAACACATAAAGGATATTACTGAATTTAACCATAAACTGAATGCATTTCGTGTTTAAAAAAATCTAAGAATAAGATTCACCTTGGATATTTTAGTAATGCAAAGGATCAGACTATATAAATCACATGCAATTTTTAAACAAGCATTTATAGAACACGGGTCAGAATTTCTTGGCAGGTTTGGTTTGGACATTTCAACCAGAATAAAACCAGTGATAAGCCATAGAGAAGTTTTATGATATCTGCGATAATTAATTTGAAAGAAGCAAAATGTAAGTGAACAAGTTAAAAAAACAAATTAAAGCTTAAAATGCTGCATTTAGGCAGAAGATCTCTGAACATGGGAAGTAGATAGCTAACATTTCATCCAAAAGGCACCACCCAAAATGTTCACTTTATTTTCTCTCTTTTCCATATTGGACATACCCCAATCTAATTGCAGCATTTGCTGTTCTTAATTCAGACTCTCAGTGTTAAAGGTCCTTCTTTCCATTGAGCTTTTTTAAATACTTTAGTTTAAGTGGTTGAGTTGGGAAGACTGTTGTCACCAATGCTGATAGAACTGGCTGCGCCAATAATCTGGAACTGTGTTTGTTTAACTCACTCACGATTAAAATAACCTATTTGGTGCAGTACTGCCCCCTGGAAATGATGATATCATTACTAAAGCTGTACAGAGCAAATCTCTGTTATAGCAATTGAAATCACCCATCATAATCACACAGAAAATAAGCTTAAACTTTTCATGCCTATTCAGTTGGGTGGTTTTTTAAATCCCTTGAAACATATTTAGAAAATCTATCGCTTTATAGTTTTGCACAGACTAACCTGTTAGGTTATTTACAGCTCACAAGACAATTGAGTGTATTATCCTCTTCATTCTTGTACTCTAACACCCACATTCTATGAAGTAATGAAGTCCTAACCTCACTCACACAAAGTAAGTATTATTCTACTCTTAGAGTTTCTGTCATCTCTGGAAAGAATAGTAGTAATAGTTGGCTATGACAAAAGACAGCGCTGTTAACCTTGAAGAAATGATGATTCCTTTTCACCAGAGTATTTAAAATATGATTGATGTTTCGTACATGCACAGCTTGCCATGAAGAGGTGGCTGGAAAGGGTTAAGTATAGTCTAATTTATTTTCTTATATTTTACTGCACTGTTATTCAGTTCAAAACTGAAACTGTGATTTGGTAATTTGATGAGAGTTATTTATTTTCTGTTTCAATAAGAGGCTCCTTGATAATCAGTCCAGAGAATTTGTAGCTGGTGGCACATTTTAGAGAATTGGCTATAATAGATCCTGGTAGAATTATTGAAATCTTATACATACTTCCTAGAAGTGCTCATTGTTTGATTATGCTTTATAAACAGAAACCATAAATTACAGCCAGATTACTTGGGACATTGATTACGGTGAGCAACAGCATTGCTACTTTAGAAGGATAGAGAGTGAATATATAGTATACGCACCATCTTATTGTATGTGCTGGCTATTCTCCGATGGTACTGTTCAGAGTCGAATATGCCTGTAACTGAGGTCACATTTTTGTTTTTAACTGCATGGCCAGCAATTTGATGTATTCAAATACTTGACTGTTTTAGAATCCAATGGAATGTAAATCAGATAAATTCTATAACGGGCATTCTATTCACTTAGCCAGAGAAATCCCTATGTTTTGAAGACTAAATATTACCCTCATCTCTGTGCTGTCTTACAAAATTATACTTTGCCTGTCTTCCTGCCATTAGGTCTGACTTTGAATTTAGCTGGCTCATGGAGGCAATTGAGTAGAACCTGAAGGTTAAGCTTCCCCACACATTGCTGTGTTTGTCTCCACTTTATGCATGGGATGACATGAATCATTTCTCCAAATGGAAACGAGCTTGATTAACAGACTTCCCTTTCAGGCATATGAGAAGCCAATCAGTGGATGCTACAGAATAAGGTAGGTTCAAGGCCAGCACTGGGATTATGAGGTAAAGGAAAGAAAGGAGATCTGTCTGGATCACAACAAGCATAATCAAGTTGTGCTTTTTTGTGCTGAACTGATCACTGTTCAGAATAATCCTGGAACACAAAGATAACACTGTACGTGCACATTTCTCCACTGCAAATGTAATTTGAAAGCCTTCCCCCTAATTCCTCCACTGACACCTCCAACAATATGAGCAAGAAACTCATGGATTCTTTGCCACCAAATTTGGAGCAATCCATTCAGTGACCTATGCTGCTTCCCTCCATTCTACCCATTGACCCAAACTTCCTTTAAGATTTTCCTCCATCCCAACCCAGAACTCATATACTTTTCTAGATTTTCTTCACTGTCTCCTCAAATCCTCTCTGTGTTCAACCTCTGGCTCCTTCAATGCTATTCCCATCAAACAACTAACTAGCCCATCTTTCCTTCCTGCCCTCCATGTCAGCTGATATTATTATTCACTGTCTTCAAGTACAAGCATCTCTGTCTTCTTCTGCTCTCAACATCCTCTTCATCAAAGTTCCAACACATCTTCAACTTTGCAAACTATTGCTCCGTCTTTAACCTTCTTTTCCTCTCCTTGAACATGCTGTCACATCTCAAATTCATACCCACATTGCCCAGAACATTTTCACTGCCGCATTATCAAAATGGCTCTTTATCAAAGTCCTTAGTGACATCCTACATTCAGTATTGCAATAGTTTGATAATAGGTTGTCTTGCTGATGGTTGCTGCTATTCAGCATCACTGCATAATTATCATTGTTGGAGTGTTCTTCCTCATTTTCTTCATAAATGATTGGTGTGCCATACATTGGTCTGAACTGGCATCTGTTCCTTTGAAATTTAGCACCATGATTAGTAATTACTTTGTATAGTCTAAGTGGGTTCCATATTTACTTTTTCTCTAAATTACATTCTGCCCATTGTGCAGCTTTGCTAGTTCTGTACCTACTTGCTTGGTGCTTTCACTCTCCTCTGTCTTTGAATAGGAATGCCCTGTGTCTCAGAATGGTTAGACAATTGATTCTTGGGAAAAGTAATTTTCACTTGCCTTCTAAGTATAAATTATGCTGGTGATGATAATCCCTTCTCCATTGGTGTTGCATGAAAATGCAGTTATGCAATGTGACAGAGTTACTTTGTTGCTCGACATTTAATGATCATTGATTTGATAGTGCATACCATGCTTTCGGCTAGACTGTTCAAGCATGGATAGTGGGGAATTGATAATGATATGGGCTTACTCCCTACTCAGTACATGTGTGCCATAATCCATTGTCAGGCACTATCTGCACCAGAACATTGAATAAACTGAAGATAGCACTCATCGAGTCAATGATGGTCATGCTTATTGTATTGTTAGGTCACCGAACATTGGAAATTTAGAGATGTAATCCAGTACAAGGATGTTTACTTTTCCTATGCACTGATGATGCACCCTCTCCTGCTGATGTTGATATATTTAATAAACCTCACAAGAATTCACAAGTCATTGACAATTCTGATTCATCCCTAGCCAGTACAAAGATTCACATAATGACAGTAAGAACTGCCGATGCTGTTCAGTACTCACGTGTTATTGTTGTAAGAGAGAAGTGCTACCTTGGTGTGACACTTTTTGATGTTAAGATTTGTTTGCTCAGTCTTGATATATGAAGTTTGTCTCCGAATGACCAAAATGAACAAATCTGCTCAGGTGCATCTTTAATACAACAAGGCCAATCCTGAATAATGATCTTTTGTAACTCTCATGGTTACTCAGCTTCAGCAGTTGCTGATTGCAACTGTTCATAGTGACTCTGGACAAAGTAATCAGACTAACCTTGAGCATCTTCAACTAATCGGTCTAGAGTCAGCATGTCGATCAAATATCTTTTGTCTTTGTATGGGTTGGGTAATCTATTCAGTGTATCAGATTAATTATGGTGGTTTATATCACACTTTTAATTCATGTCCTTGCACCTTGACAAGTGTCATACTCGAAAAGCAAAAGGAATTATGAGAAAAAGAACTACCCACCAACATAAAGGGAATCCCATAGTCTTCTGTAGCCATATAAACAGCAAAAGGGTGGCAAAAGGAGGTGTAGTGCCAATTAGGCACAAAAAAGGGAATATATAGATGGAGGCAAAGGGCATGGCTGCAGAATTAAATCAATTCTTTGCATCTGAGGTAGAAGCTACTGAGGCCATGGTGACAGAGGAAGGAAGAGTTTATTGTGCATGTTGTAACTTCACTCTGGCTTCATTGTTGTACTCCCCTATTCCCAAATTAGTTAAATCCTCTGTAACCCTGCAAGGATATTCATCCTAATGCTGCAGAAGTGTAATTAGCCTTTCTTATACAGGTTTGTTCTGCACCAGAACTGACTCTGATATCTTAACGCGCCATGCACTAACCTCTCTATTTTATTCTTTGTGCTGTATATCAAATTTGTGGTAATTACACTAGAAGGACACAGAATTTTTTGACCTACGTGTTATCTGTTTTTATCCTAAAGAGGACAACGATTCACTCTCTGCTGAATAAGAGAATAATAAATGCAACAAGATTTGTTCAAAGTTAAGTTTAATTATTTAGGTTCAAGTATAATTTTCAGAAAAGTGAATGTTTTACCAATGATTGCATGATAATTACAGTGACTGTACTAAGCATTTAACCACATGGAAAATCAAGTACCTCTTTTATTATGTTTAATTTACAGATTTATGAATAAGGACAAAATACAGATTAATAGTTAAAAAAGTAACATTCATCAAATTGACAGCTAATAATAGTTTATTTAACAGCCTTTAGAAAAAGTAAATGGAATGTTTTAAACTAAAAGGAAAAAGAAACAACAAATGTTCAGTTCTGCCATTCAATGGGAGTGCATCAGTGTCTGTTTTACAGCCTTTTTGTTTTTGTGGTACAGGCTGGATAGACCAGTGAGTCTTTTCTCATCCTCATTATTTGGATATTTGTGGAAGAAGCACAGTATCAAACAGGTTGAACTGATCCATTACTGCACCAAGGATAAATGTTAGAATGTATCTCACTATGCACAACCTCTCCCATTTGAATACTGCATACATTATCTAGCCGACATTTGTTACAAAACTATTGCACAATTACACAACTAGACAATTTTGAATATAATTTCATGTTCTACTAAGCACAAGAATATTTAAATGTGCATTTTGCTGTGTCTAATTGTGGGTTTATTTGCAGTCACAGAGTAAAGCCACTCCTCGCAGGGTCCAGTGGTCAGGAATCTGTATTGTTTTCAGATAGAGAGAGAAGATGTACGTCAAATCAGTTCGTCTGGGCTTCTTGTACACAGGGCATGAGTACACTGCCCCCTGTTGTTTTTTGGGATCAGGAGGTGCAGTGGCACTGATTGCATATACATGGACTACAGGAAGCAATGTGAACAATACCTGCAAAGACAGTTGGAAGTAACAGGCAATTAAATGGATTCAGCAAACAGAGACAATTCTAGGCTATACATTTAAATGTGAAATGGAAAATAAAATATTCATATAAATAAAGCTATAATCAATCATACATTACTAGATGGACATATCTTAATTATCATAATTCTTAACTGTTATAATAAACAGAGGCCTGAATAGTCTCACAATTATAAGCCAAGGAAAATTAAAATAATCCTTAATCGCATTTCCTTTTGAATAATTCAAGCCATGGTATTCAATGTCAGATGCCATTAGATATAGCTGCGCATAAAGCCAAAACCATCACACTAAATAAAAGAAGAGAAACAGCAGAGGAGAAAGCCAAGTCAGAAACCATAGTGAATACTGCGAGTGCTGTTACCCTAATTGATGGTACTGCATTTGTGCTTGTATTGGAAGCTGCTGCCAAGCTGCAAGGGAAAGACCACCATCTAAGGTCTTTCTGCCAAAGTTAAATCGTTCAGTTATCGACCCTCCCAGTGCCTCAAATGTATGTAACTATAATCTTGTATGAGTAAGGAGTGCCTTTGGTTTATTTGCTGGATAGAGTAAAATTCCAATGTTTGGTTGTTTGTGCATATGCTACTGTACAGATTCAAACTGCTTTAGTGACTATGTATATAAAAATATTTTTATGAATAAAGTATATTTTTGAAATTAAAAAGTGCTTGTTTTACGCTAAATTTTACAATTTGATATAGGCGAAGAAGCTCTATAGGTAACTTGGACATTAAGCTCCCATAAGCAAGACTGACATCTTAACACCAATTAAGTTTGGCATTAATTTAACTTTCAGTGAAAAAAAATTATAACATCACTTTCAATGATCGATGTTTACCATGTCTATGCCTTTTGTCATTCTGAATACTCTCTCAGCTCCCCTCCTCTATTTGAGAGGACAAATAAACATTAAACAGGTATTTGATTCTCTGTAATTAAAACAGAAAACACTGAGAATAAATAGCTTGTCAGGCAGCCCCTGTGGACGCAGGAGCAGAGTAACTGATGCAGATTAATGATGACCTTTCGTCAAATTGTTTCATTCATCACCTGTCTCTCTCTCTCTCTCTCTCTCCCTCTCTCTCTCCATGGATACTGCCTGACCTGCTGAGTATTTCAAGCATCTTTTGTTTTTATTTTAGTTTTTCAGCATCCCACCGTAATTTGCGATTGTCTTAATTTCAAAATATCATTGTTGCTTACCCTCTTATTGCCAGTATCAAACAGGACAATATTCATGTGTATTTTTAGAGTTGTTCAATCCGCAGTGAGAAACCTAAATCGGCATACAATATTCCAGATGTGGAGCAGCCGTTGTTTTATGACTGTTTTCATTCATTCTTGAAATGAAAACTTTTTAAAAATAAAAGACATTCTTCAATGATCAGGGTGAAATGGTTTGATAAAGGTAGCATTAAAAGGGTTGAGCTGTGGTAGTATTATCCCTGACTCTGAGCCAGTAGCTTCAGATTCAAGTCTTACTCCAGCACTTGATGAATCAATTTGAACATCCGTTCAACTATGCCAATGTCAATCGGTAAGAGAGGGTGTAATTACTGGTCAGCCATGTGTTCTGGAAATAAATTGGAGCCTCTACAACCACTATCCATAGCTTCAGCCACAACATGCATGGAAAAGGGCATGCTACCACAGTAACATAGGTTCCTTGAGGGACTGAATGGCTCAGTCAGCTGAATGGCCAGTGCAGATTGGTGCCAACAGCATAGGATTTGATCAATATGCTGGCTAGAATGGATTCAGGACTTCCCTCCTTGTCCTACCCACGGTGGAGGTCACAGTGCTACAGTTTGTACCTGCCTTCGGACAGAGAAAAAGAACCAAGCGGTTGCACCAAGTGGTGCACCAAGCAGGTATTAGCCTTCCTTTGTGTGTGTGAAAAGAGTCAAATAACTCATGGGTCACAGACGCCTCATGGCAGCCACTACATTTGCAAATATGCTCAGCACGTTGGATGCTTTTCTCACCCATTTCTCTTTAATCATTAGTCTGGTTTTATCTAATTTCTGGACTGGGTATTTGCACTTAAATATAATTATTCTCCCTTGTTGCATTGAAAATTTTACCATTTGTGGTTTACCTTCATCTTTAAGTAATTTTCCTGAAATGCATTACCTTTTATTTTGTTGCAATCTACTACATGACCATTTCATCCTGTTGTTTCCTACATTGTTACTCCCAATTTATTCTTCCTAATTATATTTACATTGAATCAAAATTACAAGAAATAAATTTATTTTCAGAAAATGCAAATTAAGAATCTTTAAGCATTCTGAATATATATTTTCAATCAACACAAAAACTAAATGATACAGTGACTAAACCAAAGAGGTGAATGAATTGTTCCAATACTGTCCTGTAAGTCTTCTTTTTGGCGTTGTGCAGGATATTTCTCATGAGTTAAAACCAAGAAAAATAAAGTTCTTATGTACTGAAATTTTCCAAAGCACTTTTTAAGAATGCATTTATAGCAGACTGCAGTGCTAATTATTAGTGGATACGTAGAACAGAAATTTGGACCCAACATAACCTTATTTAATGAGTTAGCATTCACACTTGTGGAACCAGTTCTATTAAGAAAATATTTTTGTTGTTTCTTCACATCTAGCTTTGTATTACACTGTGCCATCAAACGCACTGAAGCAGAGCTGGCACAATGCCACAATAAAGTTGAATATTAAAAAGCCAAAAGCAATTTAGTCAAATCTCATTATTCATCAATTTACTCCAGTATAGTGAATTTCATTTATAATCTCTCTTGTCTTTTATTTTCATTGCCTTCTTAATCTACTTTTATTTACACATACTTTGAATATGGATGTGCAGCAACACTTAATTGTCATATTCTTATTTCATCAGTTAAATTTGACCACTTGAAGCACACTCTATAATATTTTACTTTATATCTTGAGGTGAATGAATTTGTGTCCTCATACAATCATAATCAGATCATATGGAAAAGAAACAAGCTGAGGAAAACTGGAGATGGGGAATGAAAAACTTTCACATTTTTGTCAATAGCAAAGTTTAATTTTACACTGAGTTCACATGCACAGAAAGGTAATCGATTTTAGTCCCCTAATCCAATATGCAGGGTGGAATCTTGTCCCCTCCCCCAAGCAAGTTTGCTGGTGGGCCATTTAATTGAGCAGAATGGTGGCAGATGGGGATCCCACTTCCAATTTCCACCCTGATTAAGTCCATGCTGGAAGAGTTGTGTATTTTTGCAGTAAAAGTAAAATTGGATGGAGCCCCAGTAGATATGGAGGTTGACATTGGGGCATCAATCAGCATCATTCCTGAATTGCTATACCATCAAAAAGAAAGCATATGTAGAATTAAGAAGTTATGGAGGAGAGAAAATCCCCCAAATGGAAAGGAACAGCGGGAAAGAACACTCATTAATGTAGCAATAAGTCACAATCCAGCTTTGCAGAGTGGACACTGGTTAAAAACACCAGAAATTAAACAGCAACAAGATTTTAACACAGAAGTAGTGAAACTCAAAACATTAAATTATGTGATCACCAAAAGTACCAGGATGTTTAGTGAAGCTAGTCACCTCGAAATAAGGCCAACATACAAACTCCAGGCCAGTTTACTGTAAACCTTGACTGGTGTCCTAAGTTCTAAGGGAGAAAATAGATCAAGAGCTGAAAAGATTTGAGATGGAAAACATTACGACAAAAGTTGAACAGAGTAATTGGTCTACTCCAACACTGTTAGTATCAAAGGAAACAGTTACGGTTAAGTGCATAAGGGCTTTATAAAGTAACTGCAAATCAAAGGTAATACATCTGATAATTTAACGCAAGGATCTAATTATTATGCATGAGGTTGAATCTTTTCAAAATTAAATCTGCACAAATGCCTAGCTGCGACTTGAAAAAGATGATGAGTCAGTCATAATTGACTATTAATCCCACATGGGTCTATTTCAATTTCATAAGCTGTCAGTTGACTTTGCTTCAGCCTTCAGAATTTTTCAATTATTGTAAGGTATTTGGGGTCATTTTGATGGCATACTTACTTCAACTCCAAATAGGTAGACTCATAATGATAGACTGGAGAAGGTGCTTCAACGTTTAGGAAACCATGATGTTCAGGCGAAAGCAATTAAATGTTTCAAAGTTCAGTAGAGTACTTGTAGCATAGAGTAGACAAAGTTGGGCAACATCTTATCTAGAGTGGAAGGTAAAGTCACCACAGTTTTACGAGGCAATAAAGAAATATGACTGCTGATGGTTTAACCTGAGAATCGCCATACGTCAAGCAAGGGGAGAGGTTGAGAAGGAGAGTCCTTCATGGTAACCTCAACCAGTGTGGAAATTGAACCCCTACTTTTGGAATCACTCCAAACCAGACATTCAGCCAACTGAGCTAACCAAACCAAGGTAAGGTTTAAGTAAAAAAGAAGTGTGTCACAGCCTCATAACATGTCTGAGGTCTGATCCTTTTTTTTGGCTTTTGTGAATTATTACAGTTAATTCATATCAAATTTGGTAACTTTATTACATCCATTGAGTGAACCCTTGAGGGAGGCTATTCCATCTCTTTGGACTAGGGAGTGTGACAAATCACTCAAGTCGTCTAGAAGCAAATTGGAAGATGGTATGATGCTTATGTATTACACTGTGTCCAAAAACCATTAAGCTAGCAAGTGATACCCCTCCATAAAGAGTAGGTGCTGTGTCTCTAGGAGTTGGACAATGGTGAGAAGAAATCAATTGCATTTGCATCAAGTACCTGTAGTGCCAGTGAGCATAATTATGAACAAATAGAGCATGAAGCCTGTGTCCAATTTTTTCGGAGTAAGAAAATTTCAAAAATATTTGTGTGATCATAGTTTCACAATGAAAATGGATTGTGAACAACTGAAAGTTACTTTGAATCAACGGCTCTGATAGCCACTTTAGGTGCAGCCTAAATGCAGAGATGGGCTTTGG